AGACTCAGTAGGTTTTAGTATCGTATTTTGATGTGTTTACTACAAAGTCACAAGAAGAAAAGATAGCATGTTTCCATCGTCTGAAGGAACGGAAGTTAAAACTTATCCGTCTACAGCATTTATCCCGAGCTTTAATGCTCATCCTTCATATGTGCTTAAGACACTGAAGCGTACGAAACGTCCAGTCGATCACCACAAACCTACTGGACCTAAGCCCAAAACTCACAGGTTAATCGAGAACGCTTAACTTCTCCGCCTGAGAAACATTAACTATATATTATGCTACTTAATGTCTGTATGCCACTCTTGATCGTTCTGAATTTAAAGACATTGTATGGAGAACGGATAAGGGAGGCTACACATACTGTCGTACACGCTTTATAGACGGTACAATAGCCGAGTTGACTTTAGATGCTTTCGATAATCAAGACTATTTAAAAGCCTTAGATCGAAAATGGCGCAAACGCCTACATAAGTCACAAGAAGGCACGGAAGTTAAAACTTATCCGCCTACAGCATTTATCCCGAGCTTTAATGCTCATCCTTTATATGTGCTTAAGACACTGAAGCATAATAAACGTCCAGTCGACCACCACAAACCTACTGGACCTAAGCCCAAAACTCACAGGTTAATCGAGAACGCTTAACTTCTCCACCTGAGAAACATTAACTATATGTTATGCTACTTAATGTTTTCGACCCGTTTTTCCTTTCTCGCTTTTTGACCCATATTCAGCTTGAGTGAGCAACTTGCTTCTCCTGGGTCTCAAAGCTGGGTGAGGGCTATGAAATAGCCGGGCCTCCACATTAGACTATGTGTTATAAACGTACTATTAAGCAGTAGGTATACTAAAAACGTACTCTTAATTGTACAAGGAACTTAAGTTTTCTACGCGGTTTTTAATGGTTTTATTTATTAATACCTTTATCATTTTACATATCAGATATTTGGACAAGGCCATTAAAAGGCCCCAGTAAAATACCAAACATAAAATTTGATCTAGTTCTATTAATAGAACTACATTTACTTTCCAACTTTATTTATATCTGAATACTTCGGTAGCGAGATGGATCATCTGTATATAGGTTTCTAGGGACTAATAACGTTACCTAGTTGATCCTCCGATCAGCCAACCAGATGTGCCAGTCTGATGAAGGCTAAGTTGGTAATTCTTGATAAGTGGCAAGTTATTGGTTAAGACAATAACCAAGGACATCAAGTGTATTTATTTTTTCTAAAGATAGGATTTTATGAGTCTCGATTCGCCCCAATGAAACAAAACACTAAATAAAATCCCCTCGGCGGAAACAGTACTGAGAGGATTATATATAGGCAACGTCTCAGCCTCACAATCCCTCAGAGTATTGCTGTTTAAGCGAGGCATACCTATCTTTACTAAATGTCTCATTTCGTTTATTTACTTTGATATTTTCACGATACTTAGAATTGACCTACGCGTTTATTTACTCTAAGGCGTTAATATCGCCTTAATAGACCGAATCTTATACATATATATATATATATACATATATATATATATATATATATATATATATATATATATATATATATATATATATATATA